CCTTATCTCAGTAAATAATTGATTTTGACATTTAAAATGACTAAACTATCCTTAAGAAAAAGAGAAAAACACTAAAATTTTCTAATATTATGATAATTAAAAATTAATAACACAAAAAAACCCATTTCAATGGTATTTTACATATTTTAGAGGTTAAAATTGTGAGTTTAAAGTTTTTTCCGTTTTTTTCTCTTTTTTATGTTTTTATTTAAGGGTATTTTAGGTATTCTTAATGTTAAAATCGAGGATTGGCTGTGAAAATGTATAAATTTTGGTATTAAATCTAATTTAAAGATATATATTTAATAAGATCAAAGTATAGTTTTTAAATAAACTCAAAACATTAAAGAGGTAAATATCTCATATTTTAATTTGGACTTCATTCCAAAATCGATGACACTGTTTCTGTCACGCCCCCAAACGGGATGGGTAACGTAGAACTCGATTTGGGATTAATAAAGCAGATTCTCAATCAGGCCCCACACTTAATTGCATTAAAATATAAATAAATTACAGAATTCCGGAGCCTCTGACACACAGGGCTCCACCCCACAGGACATACAGTATCGTACATACATGCTCATGTAAATAATCATTACAACAGACATCAACCACAGTCTAGTAAATCCAAATATTACATAAGTTTACAGAATTCTCAAATCCCTTACATTTATTCAAGAGAATGAACTCAATCCTCTCTTGATCCAACAGTAGCAATCTTCCGCTACTCCGCACCGCTCCTAGAGTCTCCTGGGAGGGGTTTAATACATTTGAAACATAAAACGTGAGCGAAAGGCCCAGTAGGATGTTATTTACAAAGACGTAAAGTAAATAAATGGATAAAGTGCAAGTAAATAAATAAAATGGGTACGTAAATAAATAGACATTCAGTTCCAACAGACAGCCGAAACCTCACATCCTTTTTTCTCAAAGGAAATAAATGTAAAATCTCCATATTACAGGCTTCAGCAAGTAATTAGTACAAATTACTTACCTAACCAAGTGCCTCACCTACCCGGACCGAGTTTCAGGTTCTGCCCCCGATGATGCACTCTCCGCATCCTATCTAGGCTTACGGCAATAGACTCCATTACCAGTTCACAAGATCTCTTTGCTTAAGAAATCATTCATTAATTTTTCTGAAATCGTTTTTATGACCCCACGAACTCCTCAAGCCGTGGGCCCCATGACTGGACAAGCCATGAGGTTCCATGACTAAACAAGCTATGGATTCCATGGACAGGACAAGCCATGGATTTCCATAAACTAAACAAGCCATGGTTTTCAAAACCTTTTTCTTTCTCAAACCAATCTCTTTCTTTAAAACATTTTCAAGGCCGAAATCCTTTTTGAAGACAGGCTCACAAGGAAAAGGGATAGAAATCCTACCTCGCCCGATCAAACCTGGGACTAGCGTTGCCTTTTCCGGCTTCCGCTTCTTCAAGCCCCTTCAGTCTGAATCCTTAGCGATCACTGATGCAAGACAACACTTTAGGATCAATTCTCATTCCTAAAGCAATTCAAATCTCAATTTCCAACCAAGATTTCCTATTAGTGTGCCCTAATCCATTTTCATGTTTCAAATTATCATTCCAAGGGTTTTTAATCTCAAATCAAGGATTAACAATGCTAATCCATCTATCTCAAGTCCCCAAATGAAGCTAATTTGGGTTCTCCCCAAAAACAGTGATAAAACAACATTTTCAGGCCAAACAGGGTCAAATCCCGTGTCAACCGGTCGACCGGTGACAGAGCAGAGCAACACTACCGGTCAACCGACAGTGTGCACACCGGTCGACCAGTCAGCCTACAATCCGGTCGACCGGATAGGTCAACCGGTTTCCATGTGATCCGGTCGACCGCACAGGTCGACCGGTGGAATCAGCTGCGCGAGAGAAGCTCACGAAAATCAGTCCAAAACCTGCAAATCTAGTCCCAAATTGAGATATTTCAAAAGAAAACCACTAGATCTGGGTTCTAGGTCCTAAAACAAGTCCAAAGACCCAAGATCTCCAATTTCTACTCTAGTTTTACTCAAAAACCATCAAAATCCAGTTTGAACCAAAAATAAGTTTTGAAATTCAAAAACTTGAGATTCAAGAGAGGTTCTTTCAGTAATCTTACCTCGAATCCTTCTCTTGACGTTGAAAACTTCTTTAAATCTTTCCTTGGTTCAAGATCCGTTTGATTTGGGACAAAAATGAGAGAGAGAGAGAGAGAGATGCACGGGAGTGAAGAAAAAGAGTGAGAGTGAAAGAGAGAGAGAAAGTGCACGGGAAGGAAGGAAGGAAAAGAAAAAGAAAGAAAAGAAAAGAAAAAGAAAAATGAAAGAAAATGGACAAGTGTCAACATTTTAAAACAACAGTCCAGAAATACGCTCATACACACTTCTGGGTTAAAATAAATTACTGAGAACCCGTTCACTTCACTGATTCGAGTTTAGAATTCGAGTTGAGATGTGACTTTATGTGCGAGCTTTTTACTGTAGCAAAAAAGTTAGATGTGATTGTTTGTGAGAGCTTTTTACTGTAGAAAAACTCGAATTCTAAACTCGAATCAGCGAAGTGAACGGACCCTTAAATACCTTGAAACTATTTAAACTCACACGTGTCAGAAACATTTATTAATTAAACTCAATTAATAATCCAGATTAGGCACACTAATAATCTCAATTACCTTAATTAATCTCAATTAATTTTTTAAAGTGTTACATATATGCATGTATATACTAGCTAGTTCCTTGACTACACTATCTAGAGATCATTTAAATCTTCGAATATACCAATTGAATTGACCAACTTTTAGTGAAAACAATAACGTTAAATATATATATATATATATATATATATATATTTATAGAGGGCGATCAACTCTCCTGCAGGCTGCAAAGGAGCGACGAGCTAATACTTGAATTTCCACGATTTAATTAATATTAATCATATAGATTAACTTTCTGCCTTAATAACTTAATTACGACATCAACTGCTTATTAGTTTTCCCTTCGTAATACTGCTTTGGCCATCTATGGAGCCATCGTATAGTTGCATATACACTCGAAGTTAAAAAGAAAGAAGACTATATAGAGTGAGAGTACTATCACTACAACAATTAAGCCCATTTGCAACGACATTTTTTGCGACGATATTTATCATCGCAAATAATACTCTATTTGCGACGACATATCGTCGTAAATACCTACCGTTAAATAAAATAACCATGTTGTCGTTAATAACTTCAATGTCGTCGTAAATAATATTAGCACGTAATTTTCAATGGCACGAATTATTGACGCGAAGGTAATCCGTTTTTTTGCGATGACAAGTCATCACTATTTGCGACGATATTTATCGTCGCAAATAGTTTTACCTTATTTGCGACGACATTATTTTTCTGTCGTCGCAAATAATCTTATTTGACGATAAAGTAGGCGCGAGAAAAAAGCATTAGTTGCGACGACTTTAAAATATTTGCAGCGAGAAAATATCGTCGTAAATATTTTAGTATTTACGACGACATTTTATTAATTTGTGACGACAATATATTTTATTATTAGCGACGATATTTTAAATTTATTTGCGATGAATATGTCATCGCAAATAACTCTGACCTAATATCCCCTTCTTCTTCTTCTTCATTTTCTCCCGATGCTCTCTCTCTCTCCTGCAAATCTCTCTCTCTCTCCTGCAATATCTCCGTCGTAGCCTCCTCTTCCCGTGGCCGCCGCCGCCGGCCTCTCCTTTTCTCTCTTCCCTTCTTTCTCTCTCTCTTCCCTGCTTTCTCACTCTCTCTTCCGAATGGATCTCTCTTCTTCCCCTCTCCTTCCGCCGCCGCCGCCCCCCGCTACCGGCCTTCCCCTTCCCTCTCTCCCCTTGTCTCTTTCCGGTCCTTCTCTCTCTCTCTCTCTTCTTTCTGTTTCCTGCCGCCGCCGCCGCACTTCCGCCCTGCTCCTGCCGCCCTGGTCCCGCCACCCTGCCCCCGCCGCCGCACTGCCGCCGCATTGCATATAGGTGAGTTTTTTTTTCTTAAAATAATTCTGGTAAGAACTTGTTATTAGAACTAGATTATACTTAGAACTTAGAATAATTTCCTAAGCATTATACTTAGAACTAGATTATACTTAGAATTAGATTCGAGCATGAAGAGCATAGCATTTTTTTTCCTATAGAATTTGTAGTCGTAGCCTTTCATAAATTATTAAGCTTCGTCAAATTAGACCGGACTTTAGATAATTATCTTCATATATAAACTCTCATTGAATATCAATGTGAGAGACATATGAGAACATTTAATATTAATCTTAATGCAAAACTTTTTATGAATGAACAATTAATTTGTTTGTGTATCAAATTTAAAACTATAAAAAAGTAAAGTATTCATTCTTTTTTGCGTTTTTTTTACTGTAGCCCTTTTTTTTACAAGCGGATCAAGCCCATAATATTTTTTTAAACTCTCATTGTGTTTAAAACAATAAAATATTAATTTTGGTGTTTGAAAATTATGTTTGATGTTTTAATTTGATGTAGGCGTTTGATTTTTTGCCTTCGTCCTTGCTTGCACGGTTCCTCTGACGTAATCCTTCTATTTTCAGCCCCCGTTTAGTGGGTTTGAACTTTGTAAGTTTTTTATATTTATTTAGTTTAAAATTGTAGTAGTTGTATGAATTCGGGATTATGATGACAATATTTGAATTATGATTTTGTTATATTGTTGAAATTTAGTATATGTTTATGATTCTTGTTCTGGGTGGCACATCTTGAAGTTATGGTATGCCGAAATCTTTTAGAGAAAGTCTCCCGAGTAACATGAGAAATCAAATTCATTGGGATCGTTGTTGCAATAGGTTCTCCGGCGATAAATTTCAAGTAATTATAGATTTGTTAGAACTTGATGATTTTTTATACATAATTTCAAGTAACTATTACTTATTATAGTTAATCATAAACAGAAAATATCAGAGACAAATAAAACTAATCGCAACAACCAAAAGTATCCAAGCTTACATGGTCGGTTATCGTACTCTCAGCATCGCAATAAGAAGGTTAGTACTTATTTTTTGACTTCATTATCGTATTTATATGTTTGTGATTCTTGTTCTGGGTGGCACATCTTGCAGTTATGGTGTGCCGAAATCTTTTAAAGTTATTTTTTTACAGGTTTTGATTTTTGGATCATATGAAAAATAAGTCGTTATGCTGCCGAAATTTAGTTAGAATTTAAGAATTTTAATAAATGTAATTTATTTGACAGGCCAGTACGGAGACCCAAGAGCCGATGTCTACTATAGAAAATTGGGCGGACATGCATCGTCGCGGGGACTCTTGGGTTAATATCCATGCGGAACAGACTTTCGTAAGTATTTTTACTTTTCATATTAAATTTTTTTATACTGAAATAGTGGTTTTATAACACGTAAAAATAATTATAATGTCTTATTATATAGAACACCCTGGAGGAGGAAAGACAAATGCAGAGACCACATACTACTTCAAGCTCGACTAGACCCCCCCTTGACGAGCATGGGGTTTTGGAGCAAGTTCTTGGCATGTATAGAGGACATAAGATAGGAGTGGGTCCGACGCTCTCCCAAAAGCATTACTCCGGGCCTTTTCCTTCATCTGCTGGTTCATTCTTGGACGCAACATCATCAGCTCAACTTGACCCACGTATGGATCGTTATTTAAAGAAATCGTACTGGGAACAAATGAAGATTTATGACAATCAGGTGAAGATGTTAGAGTTGGTGTCTAAATTGCAGCCCAACATCCAATTACCTACGATTGTTCGTCCAGACCCAGTTGACCTAGACGCTCCTCTGCCTCCTTCAGATGATGACAGTCCTGATGATGATTCAGCTGTTGGCGATGCTGCAAACTTAGACGAATAGTTCCGTTATATGTTCTATTTTATTTTTCACTTTATTTAAACTTTTATATTTTTTTTGAACATTATATATGCACTTCACGTAGTATTCATAATATATTTTATAAATTTATTTAGATTTACTGTTTTTAATATTAATTTATATTTCACTTTTAATGTATCTTAATAAATTATATTCAGTATGTAACATAATAATGTTTAATTAAAATTATTAAAAATTAATTAATTGCTATTTTTTAAAAAATTGAAAAAAAATTTATTTCAGTTTTTTGCGACGACTTTTTTATACTTGTTGTCGCAAAAAAGTAAGATCATTTGCGACGACATTTTGAAATTTGTCGTCGCAAAAAATATTATATCTCGAGAATTTCACAACGGCGTATTAGCGACGCTTGTCGTCGCAAAAAAAATACGTCGTCGCAAATATATTTGCGACGACACTGTGGCGTCGTAAAAAAAGTTTTTGCGACGATATATCTGGAACGACATGTCGTCACCAAAATAATTATTTGCGACGACACTGGGATTTTTGCGATGACTTTTTATCGTCGTAAAAACCCATTTTTCTTGTAGTGTATTCTATATATTCGACTACAACTATACATTTTATGAAACAAGATGGCCGGTTCTTTTAGGGAAAAAAAAAAAAACAAAAATCCTCTCTCACGAGCGATGTTAAACTCTCATATCATCATTGTGAGTATAAAATATATTAGAGAAAATAACTGGTGAAAGAATACAGGAAAGTTTAAGAAGCACGACGACGTGCAATATGCGTGCATATGGAATTGGCAGACATTAATTTTATTATTGTTATTATTGTAATTGTTTTATTATTATTCCTACTATTATTATTATTATTCCCACTATTATTATTCATACTATTACTATTCCTACTATTATTATTATGTCAAAATAGGCGTCCCTCTAGAACCCTTAGCTTGACATGAGGACTTAACAGTCGCATCACCAACGACCAAATAAATTGGCCTTTTGAGAATTGTCAAATGAATCTAAAAAGTATCTTAATCTAACTAATCAAGCACAATAATAATAATATAAAATGACCTTGTACGTACGTCTTTTTCTTCTAGTACCATTTAATATCGGTGAAAATAAAAATAAAACTAAAGCCAAGAAATTATATTATTTATTCCAACTATATATATATATATATATATATATATATCCAGATCTACAATATTCAACACTCGTGCAAATCAATTCATTAATCGCCCTTGATGTTTGACTCATGACTTGGTAATCCCACGTGTTTGGATTTTGGAGTACAAAAAACAAAACCGAGGTAGGCTGGCAGTACTGCCCAAAGCAAAGACTACATTATACGACACGTTTTTCGTATAATATAAATATATTCAATGTCTAAATAGTTAGTAATCATGTGTGTACAGTATAGGTTCATAATATTAATACATAATGAGGAATATAACATCAGAATTAAAATATATTATAATATGAGAAAGATTTTTTGATACGCGCGTATTAATATGTCATATTTTTTTAACTGTTAAACTTATGTATTTTTTAATTTTTATGTAATTTTATATAAATTTAACAGACAAAAAATCTAATTTATTGACATGTTAGCATGTCGAAAAAGTCTCATAATATAATAAATAAGAAACAAGTCAAAAACTCAGGGCGGGCGATCTGAGTAAATTGGTTTATCCAAATCAAAATTACTGCATGCAATCTCCTTAATTAGCTTAACACCGATTTGGAAGTAGTGTAATACTCGCAGACAGTGGTGGAGTCAATTTCGACGTGCATTTTATACAAATACAATTTGCAATAGACCCTACTGTTTCTTTCAGGCGACACCAATTATACGACAATATTACGAAGAAAGAAAATTCGCCATCATAAATGAAGAAAAAGCTGCAACCACCGTGTGCTTCAACAAAAGCACGTGACAAATAAAAGGGGTAAAAAAAAATTATACCAGCTTATTTGATTCGCTATTTCAAATTGTGTGGTTTTAACATTTTTAATTTTAACTAAAAGTTCTAAACTTATGTGATTGAAACTCTTATTAAAAGTGACGTTTAGAAGAGTAAAGTTTAATTAATAAATAAAACATTACATCTAAAAACGTGTTTGGATGGTATGAGAATTGTGAGGAAATAAAAAAAAAATAGAGTTATAGTTTTATCATAATAAATAGGTTCAAATGATATGAATTGGAAGGGAGAGGTTAATAAGATGTTTATTTTAACGTTCAAAACTTTTTATTATAATGTTTTCTCTATAAAAAAAAAAAGTTTTAAATATGTGAAACTAACATCCTATAAGTTTTTTAAACTTATTTCTTAATGGATTTAAACATCATATCATGTTTCAAAATCACCTCAGTTAAAACAATGCACGTCTAAATATTAATTTAAACTAGACTCATGGGTTCAAACTGCACAAACCCATGAAACAAGCATGCAAAACAACTATCAAATTTGCCAACTAATTTTAAAATATTGAAGTTTTTGGATTAATTATTTTCCTTCAGATGTAGGTGAGTTCTCTAGCTCTTGTACTTTCATTAGGCTCTAGCTAAGGCCCGAGTATCTAATTACTCATTTGTTTTTAGATCACATATAACTTCGCATGAAAGGAAAAAGAGTATATCTTCTAGGATAATTCTATCAGTAGTGTCAATTCTAAATGTTAGATTAAGTTAAAATCATATTAAATTAAAAAATATATATATATAAAATAAGTAGTTTTTATACAAATATGAATGTTAAAAATAAAAAACTACCCGCAGTTCATTTTTTTTATTATATTAGAGAATCTCCTAAAAGAAAAATAAAGAATTATAAGTGGCAGTGTTGTAATAAAAACTAAAATAGTGGACAAGACTTGTGCTTTATTTTAAGGGTGGACAAAAGGTCCAATCATCTAATATATCTAGCTAGTCTTAATCAAATTAATTACAAAAAATTAGAGATTCAAAATCTATTTGATTAGATTTGGATGATATTTTCACTCATCCAATCTGAATATTGGATTTAAATTTAGAGAAATAAGACAAATATCTCTTAGAATGTATAAGTCTAAATTTTTAATCTTTATTCTTGATTAATATTTTTTTAGTCAAATAATTACATTAGCCAGAAGAGTAAAAAATGACTTTTGAGAAAAAAAAATAAAAACGATTCTAAAACGGCGTTTGACACAATTAAAAAAAAATGGAAATGAAAATAATTTTTTAGTTTAGTGTAAAATGAGAGAAATAAAAAATGACTTTTAGGCCGTGTTTAGAATTGATCCCGTTTTTATTTTTCATATTTTTCGAGAAAGAAAAAATGAAAACGTTTTTAAAATGGCATTTGACGTAATAAAGACAAAAAAGAGAAATGAAAACGATTTTTTAGTTTAGTGTAAAATGAGAGAAAAATGAAAAATAATTTTTAGTCGTTTTTTATTTTTTATTTTCGTTTTCTCCTCTCTCGAGCACAGAGATATATATATATATATATATATATCAATGAGTTTTTTCTTATGCTGAAAACAATCTCTAAATAAAACTACCAAACGTATTTTTAAAAATGATTTTTATCTAAGAGTGAAAATGTTTTCATTTTCATTTTCATACAAAAAAAAAATCATTTTGGAACGAGTTCCAAATGCGCCCTTAGTCGTTTTTTATTTTTTGTTTTCGTTTTTTCTTTGCTCGAGCAGAGAGAGACATTAATGAGTTTTTTTATACTGAAAATAATCTTTTGATAAAACTATTAAACGCATTTTTAAAAATAATTTCTGTCTGAGATTGAAAACGTTTTTATTTTTATTTTCATATAAAAAATAAAATTATTTTAAAACGAATTCTAAACGCACCCGTTAATTCTTTGGATTTGTGAGTGTTTCTCACAGGTTTTTTCTTCTGTGTTATTTGGTTTTCCGGTTGGCCACCACTGCTAGTGGTGGTTTCCAGCTCATGTGGGCATTGCGGGCTAGTAACTCGATGGTTACCGGACGGTTACATGTATTGCGGCGTATACTGCCCGGTATATCGACCAAATACAAGTATTCCGACAGCTACTGCGGCCAATACTTGGGGTTGTTCGTTAGATACTGTCAGGTATCTTGATTGGATACCGTTTTTCGGCTGAATATTGGTGGGTATATCAGTAGACACTGATCGGTATTTTAAAAATAAAGCCTTTCCCTTGAAAACACCCAAATATATGTTGGGACGTCGTATTCGGAAGGAAGCCCATAGAGAAAATGCGTGTTTGGCCCATGAGGCCTAATTTGGTCGTGGGCGCGTGGCCTTCTTTCTCTTCTTCTTTTTGTGGTGCGTTGGATTGGGGAAGTCATTTGTAATAGAAGAAAGAGTAAAATGGGGAGATGGAGGTGGAAATTGGGGGTGGGGGTGGGGGTGGCCGTGGGAGTGGGTTTGGTGGGGGTGATCGTATGCCACTATTCAAGTGGAAATACAGATACAACAAATTCACGGGGGTCATTTTCGAAGGAATCGGCGGGGAAGGGGGTGGGGGGGGGGGCGG